GGCTCATGGTCCTGTCCACTTCCTCCCAATGCACTGACAAGTCCCTTGTATCAGGGAAGACAATATGTGCAAGATAGCCTTCCAAACACATTTCAGTCAATTTCACACTATGTTATCGCTCCAGCCAACGTCAAGGGATTAATGCCCGGCATCTGAGAGGAAATCCTAGATAGGAATCATTTTTTATGTACAATACACCACATTTTCTCTCAAACTGATCTTGTGTGAATCTTTAGTCAGGGTAGTATTACTCTGCTTGCAGCAACACCAGCTCGCAAGTAATGTGTTTTAGATATTATCACCACTACGTACTAAGCATTTGAAACAAGCAAGTGTCCTAACCTAGAAGTCAGAATTCTGGGACCCAATCTAAAAATTCTTCGACCTGAAAACATTGTGGCCAATCCGTCCCACTTGGAACTAATCAGAGGCAGTAGGCAAGTAGTGGGTAAGATTTTGTGACCACTCAGAGGCCTAGGAAGCCTGTAGTATTGAAAAAATCTGCAACATTAATTTGAGTAAAGGAAGATTTACCCAAATACTTTTGCACCACCCAAAAGTCCTTCATAGTATATTCAAAGTATTAGATATAGTGTTCTGGCAACTCTCAATTTATGGCCCAATTCTAAAAGAAACCCGTCAGGGCCCTTCGTATCTACTTACCACCAAAAACTATATGGAGCATAGTATTAACTGGGCAGATAAAGAACCTCTGTTACACTATCTACCAATAAAACGATGAGTTCAGGGATCTCTGGGTGGCACAGCAGTTTGGCGCCTGCCTTTGGCCCAGAGCGCGATCCTGGAGACCCGGGATCGAATCCCACGTCAGGCTCCCGGTGCATGGAGCCTGCTTCTCCCTCTGCCTATGTCTCTGCCTCTCTCTTTCTCTCTGTATGACTATCATAAGTAAATAAAAAATTGATGAGTTCAGGAATGCCTGGGTGGCTCAGTGGTTGAGCTGCGGCTGCCTTTGGCCCAGGGTATGATCCCGGAGGCCTGGGATCGAGTCCCACATCGGGCTCCCTGCAGGGAGCCTGCTTCTCCTTCTGTCTATGTCTCTGCCTCTCTGTGTGTCTCTCAAATAAATAAAAATAAAATCTTTGAAAAGAAATGATGAGTTCATCTATCTTGCCACAGTGTAGTTTGCTTATAAAGAGCTCATTGGCTCTCCCTACCCATAACCTGCCCATTCACAGTAGCTATAGCATGATTTTTACCTACAGCTCACCGCCCTTCACCCTAGGTGGCTTCAAAAACTTGGCAGCTGTGGGAAACTATGGGTTACCAAAAATATCTTCCAGCTTGCCAGAAATCAAAGAGTATGCCAACTGGTGCTTGATTCAGGAGGAAGGCATCCAAATGGGTGATACTGTCCAGCACACCTCCAAGTACACAGTAGCCTTTTATATGGGAAGCTGGGAACCTACTACTTAGAAACTGAGATAATAGAGAACATCACCTGGCTATACCCTTACGGACAATCTGTCTGAGGTCTCAGGACCAGACAAAGAGCTCATACAATTACCTGCACCCAAACCAGTAATTACTCGCAGTCAAGGTCCCATTGTCCACTAGGAGTATACTCTTACTCTTTCTCCTCAGAACATATCTACTTGGCCACAGACATTCTGGCACCCCCACCTTGCCCAAACTCAAATGACACTGCTTCGAGGAACTGGCTTCTCATTACCGTAACCTGTGATGAAGTCCAAATCAGCTCCCTTGTTCAGTTCAGGCTTCCAGAATTCTATATTGTCACCTATCCAAATCCTCTACTGTCAAAGGAGGGGTTTCAAACAGTGCTCCACTTTGGCGGATCATTCTCAAAAGAGTGTGAAAGGAGATTTCCACTAGAGTGCAAAAGTGGGGAAGGAGGGACAGAAATGAATGAGTGGGGTCAAACCACAATGAAGGGGAAAAGCAGGAGCTAAGGGAAAACCGCAGAGAAGTGGCATCCCCATTCTCCACCAGAGGTGAGTCAGAGATTGCAACAATTTCCAGAGAGATTGGCAAACTTTGATCCAGTTCCTGACAAGCTCAGGTTTCTGAGATGCAAGCCAAACCTAGCCTATTTAAGCAGAACATGAGTTTATTAAAAGAATATTGATGAGATAACATCAAACTAAACAACTTCACGGCAAAGGAAACCATCAACAAAATGAAAAGAGCCTACAGAATGGGAGAAAATTGTTGCAGACCATATATTTGATAAAGGGCTAACAGCCAAAATACATGAGAAACTCATATAACTTGATAGAAAAGTTGGCATAAGATGAGTAGACATTTCTCCAAAGACGACACACACATATATAATGGCCAACAGGTGTATTAAAAGATGCTCAATATCACCAATCTTCAGGGAAATTAAAACCACAATGAGATATCACCTCATACCTGTAAAAGTGGCTATTGTATATTTAAAAAGATAACATGGGATCCCTGGGTGGCGCAGTGGTTTAGCGCCGGTCTTTGGCCCAGGGCGCGATCCTGGAGACCCGGGAATCCCACGTCAGGCTCCCGGTGCATGGAGCCTGCTTCTCCCTCTGCCTGTGTCTCTGCCTCTCTCTCTCTCTCTCTCTGTGACTGTCATAAATTAATTAATTAATTAATTAATTAATTAATTTAAAAAATCCCTTTAAAAAGATAACATGTTGGTGAGGATGGGGAGAAAAGGGAAAACCTTTGTATACTACTAATGGAAAAGTAAATTGGTGCAGCCATGATGGAAAACAGTATGGAAGTTCCTCAAAAAAGTAAAATTAAATCCTATTTCTGGGTATGTACCCAAAGGAATTGAAATTGGGATCTCGGGACACCTGGGTGGCTCAGCAGTTGAGTGTCTGCCTTCAGCTCAGGGCGTGATCCCGGGATCCAGGATCGAGTCCCACATCGGGCTCTCTGCAGGGAGCCTGCTTCTCCCTCTGCCTATGTGTGTGTGTGTGTCTGTGTGTCTGTGTGTGTCTGTGTGTGTGTGTCTCATGGATAAATAATCTTTCAAAAAAAAAGAAATTAGGATCTCAAAGACATATCTACGCTTCTGTGTTCATTGTGGCATTATTCACAATAGCCACGACATGAAAGCAACATAAATGTCCATCAATGCACAAATGGATAAAGAAAATACAGTACACACACACACACACACACACAACAGAATATTGTTCATCCTCAAAATTAAGAAGTCTTACCATTTTCCATTTGGTGAACCTGGAAGACCTGCTAGGTGAAATAAGCCAGACAAAGACAAATACTATATGAAGAATCTAAAATAAACTTGTAGAAACAGAGAATAGAATGGTAGTTGCCAGAGGCTAGAGGGAAGGAGAAATGGAGAGACAGTAGTCAAAGGGTACAAAGTCTCAGCTATATTAGATTAATAAATCCTAGAGATCTGTACATCATAGAACCTGTAGTTAATACCATATTATATACTTTAAAATTTCCTATGAGCATAGCTCTTTTGTTTGTTCTTATCACAGAATAACAATAAATAGGGTAAATAGTGTAGGAGGAAATTTTTGGAGGGGACGGATATGTTTACGGCATACATTGTGGTGATGGTTTCAGTTGTATACTTACCTCCAAACTCATTAAGCTGTACATATTAAATACATCCAACTACTTGTATGTCAATTTTACATACAACTTTTTAAAAATAATATTGGGAAGTATGTAAAAGCTGTAAAAGGAATAGAAAACCAAGTTTGGTGGATAACAACCAGAATCATGCTGGGCACAGACACTGCTGCGTTCAGTACTGTTGCAGGCACTGTTGGTACCAAGGACCCTGGGCTCTGGACATGCTACTAGAAGATGCAGCTGCACTGCTGCAACTTCCCATTAGTAGAAAAAGACTACATAGCATAGACTCTACCCCCTGCTTCTTTGCAACCTTCCTCTGTGATTCAGAATCTGAAGCAGATGTGTTTGGCCTAGCCAAAACTCTTTGCCCGTGCCCTAGCTGCAAGAGAGTCTGGCATCTTAGTACACTTGGGCTGCTGTCACAGAATGCCATCGACTGGGTAGCTTATAAGCAACAGAAATTTACTTCTCACAGTCCTGGAGGCTGGAAGTGTGACATGAGCATGCCAGTGTGGTCAGATAAGGGCCCTCTTTTAGTTTGCACTTTTCATTGTGCCCTCATGTGGTGGAAAGGGTGAGGGAGCTCTCTGAAGCCTCTTTTATAAGGGCACTAATTCTATTCATAAGAGCCCTACCCTTATGACCCAATCACCCCCTAAAGGCCCCACCTCCAAATACTACCATGTTAGAATTGAATTTTCAACATATGAATTCAGACATTCAGACCTGGGCAAAGATGCTCTGGTCTTTTCGGCCCCCGTGGTGAGATTCCAGTTTTGCTTCAGAAGGGATTCCCAGACCCCCATAAGAATGCTAGGTCTACACTGCTCTACTCTACCCTACCTTACCTTACCCTACTCTACATTACTTTTCCAGCGCATTCCCTCCCCTTTCCACTTTACCTAGCACTAATCAGGCTCCAAATCATTAACAAGCTGAAACCTCTCTAATGCTTCCATCTTCTACGCACTTGCTATCCTGTTGCCTGAAAGGCTCTTCCTGATACCACTATGTCCCATGGACTCCTTCTTATCCTCCAAGACTTAGCTCAAACATAATTTCCTCTATTAGACCAATTAAAGTTCTGCAAACATGCCAATCCCAGGTAGTAAGCGTCCCTTCAGATAAAGAGCCTTTTTCACCGGCACTAAGTATCTGTCAATATCCTGATTCTAGCAGGAGACCACTCAAAACCCAGGAGTCAGAGAGGAGCAAGAGAATGGTGAGGGATCACTGGGGTTCTCCCTCCCTCCCTCCTGACACAGGCATTATAATTTGACATCTGAGACCCTGAGATCAGATTTGAGTGGTTAGGAGACATCCCTGCCATGTGCCTGGTTGGCATGGAGACCAGAAACTCAGAAAATCAAATAGCCCCATTTCCTAAATACTTATAACAAGTCTGCTCATTTCAGACCAGAAGGAACCAGTGCCCACTAGGCTTCCACCTATTATCTCAGAAGATGGGAATTATTCCGTGCACCAGAATAGCCACACAAAGTACCATGAAGCTGTAAAGAAGGTGCTGTTAAAGACGTGTAAGTATTGGGGCACCTGGGTGGCTCAGTTGGTTAAGCTTCTGCCTTTGGCCCAGGGTTGGGCTACTTTTCTCAGAGGCAAGTGCGGGGGGGGGGGGGGGAGTGCTCTCTTGCTCTTTCTCAAATAAATGAAATCTTGAAAAAAAAAAAACCCACAAAGACATGAAATTATCTTAGAGTGGGCCCCATGCTAGAGGCTGAATAGATATGCCTGAGTTTGTAAAGAATGTCTGGGCTGTGGTGGGGCATGGTTATAGAACAGGGAGAAAAAAAAAACAAACAGCAAAGAAGGGAAACTGAGAAAAGGGGGCAGAAAGTAGACTTGAATGGTGGAATGAGCAAGATAAAACAAAAATTGAATCAGACTTGGAAGCAGAAGCTCCATGTTGGCATCTCCTAGTTCTGCTTCTTTTAAGTGTCTTACTTTGGGTACCCACTTATCTTCTATTAATATGCTTTCTCACTAAGAAAAAGAAAAGAAAATGCCTGCTCTATCAATCTTACAGAATTGTTGTGAAGATCACAACAAAATGAGACAGTTTAGGAGAGTACTTTGTATATTATGTGCTATGCCTGTGAGGTGTGGTAGATCAAACTTTGGCTTTGGAATTTGAACTGAGTTTAAACTCCAAACAAGTTGTATGACCTTGGGCAAGTTCCTTTAACCACTTAACCTCTCTGACCCATCTGAAGATGGGAATCATATTCTAGCATTGTTGTGAAAGTTAGAGAAAATGTACATTTAAAAAAGTTTCTAGGGGCACCTGGGTCGAACGGTGGTTGAGAATCTGCCTTGGGTTCAGGTAGGCTCAGGTCATGATCCCAGGATCCTGGGATCAAGTCCCGCATCAGGCTCCCCATAGGGAGCCTGCTTCTCCCTCTGCCTATGTCCCTGCCTCTGTCTCTCTTGCTCTCTCATGAATAAATAAAATCTTTTTAAAAAGTAAATAAAAATTCTTTAAAAGCTTCTAGGGGTGTGCCTGGGTGGCTCAGCCAGTTAAGTGCCCGCCTTCAGCTCAGGTCATGATCCCAGGGTCCTGGGATGGAGCCCTGCATCTGGCTCCCTGCTCAGTGGGGAGTCTGCTTCTCCCTCCCAGCTCTTGCTCTCTTGCTATCTCTGTCTCTCTCTCTCTCAAATAAAATCTTAAAAAAAAAAAAAAAGAATTTAAAAATAAAAAAGCATCTAGGACAAACTAGTGATACATGCGAGAACTTCTAGGATTCTTCGGGGAGTTATGCTATATAAAGGAAGCCAGCCCCCAAAAGATCACATATTGTCAGTGATGCCAAACATTGCCAAGAATGTTTATATAACATTCTTAAAATGACAAAATTACAGAAATGAAGAACACCAAGGGGGCTAGGAGGACATGGCTATAAAAGGGTAACTCCCTTTCCCCATTGGGGGAAACTGGGTAAAGGGTATACAGGATCCGTGTGTATTATTTCTTACAACTATATGTGAATCCATAATTATCTCAAAATTACAGTTTAATTTAAAAAACTAAGATACTTTCAGAAATTTAAAAAGAGATATACATGGAGTATCTAAGAGTTATTCCTAGTAGCAAATTCTTTTTTTTTTTTTTAAGATTTTATTTATTTATTCATGAGACACAAAGACAGCAGCAGAGACATAGGCAGAGGGAGAAGCAGGCTCCATGCAGGGAGCCTGACATGGGACTTGATCCCGAATCTCCAGGACCACACCCTGGGCCGAAGGTGGCGCTAAGCCACTGAGCCACCCGGGCTGCGTGCAAATTCTTTTAAGAGTTTATAATCAGGGATGCCTGAGTGGCTTAGCAGTTGAGCGTCTGCCTTTGGCTCAGGGCGTGATCCCAGATCAAGTCCCACATCAGGCTCCCTGCATGGAGCCTGCTTCTCCCTCTGCCTATGTCTCTGGCTCTTTCTGTGGCTCTCATGAATAAACAAAATCTTAAAAAAAAAAAATAAAGAATGTACAAATTTTGTACAGTGGTAGAATTAGATTTATCCACATAATGGATAAAACTATTAAAAAGAACTAGGTAAGTCTGATACTATTTGAAAATCTTAAGAACAATACACCTAGAACATGATAGGCACTTGACAAAAGAATCTACTAGCAGTATCTAAACATGAGATGGTATCATTATTTAGTTTCAGAGAATTACCTGGAATGAGCAAAGGAAGGAATTTTTTCAAAGAGGAGGGAAGGGAAAGAGGATGATTAAGCCAGGGGACAGAAGTGGAGTGAGGGGAGCCAGGAGACCCATCTTGCACATTTCCCAAGTGAGCTGACCTCGTGTTTTTCCACCGTCTTAGCATTTTGGGGAAAGCTCTCTTGGAGATGGGCTTAGTGGCAACAGGAAAAACCAAGACCGATTCAACTGACCACGAAGGGTGTGAGATGCTGGAATCCGGAAATGAAGCTGGGTGTGGTGGCCAGATTCCCAGGACTTTTCAGCACCTGGTCAGGCCCATTTGCTAGGCTGTGCTTGTGCTGCCATGAAGCACAACAGGAAGAGAGAACTTGAAGACACTGGGTAACCTGCCCTTCCCCAACTATTCAGTTCCCAATCAGGTCTTCAGAGTCCCCTTAACGGATGCTCAGAACTTCAGCTTCTGGCGGTCCCATGATCCAGGAGTGCGTCCAGAGGAAACCATGCCATGGATCCGAAGCCCCCGCCACTGTCTCATTAAAAGCCCAATGACCAGGTTAGGCTGGGATGGAGGAGGGTAGGAAGAATAAGGGAAGTACTCCCTCCCTTGACTTAATTCCTTAGAGGCATTTCATCTTTTCTCAGGGAATAGAAGACAAAGTTGTTTTACCAGGGAGAGCTGGCCCTAGAATCTGGCATTTAAAAGAGTTAAAGATGTGTTTGAATCTTTGTGTTTTGTCTTGTGGATAGGACTGGACAGGCACAAGACAAGTGCCTAGCTTTCCTAGGGGAGTCCAGGGACGGTTTTGTTTCCTTCATTGCTGCTTCCCATCCTCCAACCACCATTAACTGGCCGTAGCCATATTTCCTCATTACTGCCCCTGCCCTTTCTACCCTGAGGCAGTCGGGAGACATTTAAAGACACTGCCACACACACACCAGGCCGGTCTGGCTGAATCTGAGACCTTCTCTCTCTTTTCCAGGTTTATGGATCACTCTGTTCTTAGTGACAGGCACTTCAGTCTGTACTGAGCAGGATGTGTTTGCAGAAGGGCAAGATGGACTGTGGAAGCAGGGCAAAGAAGGAGAAAGTGGGAGAAGGTGTCCTGGTTCCACTGAACGACTAATGGGAGGAGGGGATCCCAAAAGCAGAGTAAACAGATTGGACTAGAAGTCACTTGTGTGTACCGGAAGGAGGGGAGATTATTCTAATGCCCAAATTCCTGTGAGATCAGATGTGTGTGGGCCAGAATTTGGTGTTTGGTGTGGGAAGGGCCAGGGTACAGGGAAGACTGCCAAAGGCCTTGACCTCACGAATGGCAGGTGTCAGAGTAACAAGTCTGGGAAGACACACACTGGTCCTCATGAGGCTGAAGGGCCTAGAGTAGTCATGATCTCTGAAGACACTGCAGCTTCACCTTGGCAGCAAAACAGCCGGAGGAAGCCCATTAAGCACAGAGGAAAGAGGTTCACAGCACTCTGGCAGGAAGCTGCCTCCTATGCCAAGCTCTGCCACTGCTGACCCAACCCAGGGCCCAGAACATCTTCAGAGAGCTGGGAATTTTACAAAGAATTTGATTTTATTGATATTTAAATATATTAAATATTTCACTGAAATACATGATACACCACCCTCCCCCCCACAGTGGTTACATTATAAAACCAAAGTCCATGGGCCTCCCATCCACTGACTCCCCCATCACCTGGTGAGAGAGGGGGCAATGGGAGCCCAGGAGAAGGGCATGGCTGGCACTGTGGTATGGGGAGTCAGGGTGTGGACAGGACCCTCCCGCTTGGCAAGAAGCAAAGACAAGTTACCCAAGACTGAGGTCTTTCCCCTCTGGTCTCCTTACATCCTCACTCCCACCCAAGGGCTCCAAGCAGTCCTTTCCTATCCAGGGATATGGCTGGGGAAAGGAAGCTGATTTTCTGTCTGGACCAATTAGTCTTTTCCCCTCCTCCTGCCATGTCTAATGAAGTGCCTGATAGCCCATTTGGTTGATGCATGAAGATCCCCCAAGGGAGGCAATATGAGCCAGAACCAGGCCTCCGCAAGGGGTCCCAGCAACTCTGGGACCCTCTCTCCTCGGTCTTTCTAATCACCTCCAAGACAAAATGATCTTCAAGCAAAATTCAGGCTAATGCCTCTGACTCTAGATACAGAGAAACCAAGGCACCAATTAATTCAGGCCTGAAGCAAGGAGGTTGCAGAGAAAGCGGTGAAAGGAAGGCAGAGATAGGAAGGGTATCTAGAGTCCAACCTCCCAACCCTTCTAGTCCTTGCAGGCTTCATGGGGATTGAAGAGCCAGGAACATGCTAAACTGAGACTGAAGGCTGAAGAACGCCAAGTTTCAGGTTCCCTTGCCCCATCCCCTAAGTACCAGTATCTGGGTCTTCAGAGAGATCCCATGCTACCCCAGTCCCAAAGTATACCACCAGCTGGGGAACCCAGGAAGTTCCTGAGCCTCTGGCCACCAAACCCCAGACGGTTCAAGTGCCTGGAGCACTGAGGCTCAAGTAGGCACCTGGGTTCCTGCCCCAGGCAGGGACACAGTCATGCTACGCACACAGCCCCCAAATGGCACTTAGGGATTTGGCACAAAAAGGACTCTTCTCCCCAGGGCACCCTCCTCTTACTACCATACCCCATGCCACTCCTGTGCAACCGAGGCATCTTTCTCCATCCCTTGAAATCCGACACCCTGCCTTATTCCCAGAAGACAGAGGCCCACAGGAGAGAGGCAGCCCCAGGTAGGGAGCTGAGGAGGAGCACAAGGACACACACAAACCTGGGAAACAGATACACACACCAAAGCCAACATGCACACACATGACACAGACACACAGGCCCTCCCCAGTGCCAAAGACTTGGGAGGACAGGTTTGGACCAGGGTCATCCTCCTCCATGCCCTGACCCTTTTCTATTTGGCAACAGAGGGGGTAGAGATGCTCTGTGCCCCTTTGCCGGCAGACAGCAAGATAGCATGGGGGCAGAGTGACCTGATCCCGACCCCAGTGGGGCCCTCAGATCAAGAGTCTGGTACCACCCCACTCCCTGGCCGGCCTGCTCACTTTGGCACCTGCAGGTGTACTTCCAGCTCCTGATCTTCTGACATCCCCACATACATGCTTGCTCTCTGGCTGGCCATTTTCACAGTACCAATGAGGCCAGATGCCCCTTTCCCTGGAGTTGTGCAGGAACTGGGGCTAAATCTGAGCTGTCAAAAGTCCCTTTGTTCCCCTTTGGGGACAGATCATGGGACTAGGATTTGGCAAATGGAAATACTCCCCTGAAATATGGACAGAGCTGGGTCCCCAGAGTGTCTCCCTCCTCTGCCCTGTGCCTAGAAGGGAGACCAGACTGGGGTGGGGTACCCAAGGCCAGTGCTGGGGACGCAGGCATAGCAGAGGCAAGCACGGAATAGGTACTCCTCATGCCCGCCCCAGTCTTTGTACAAAATATTCCCAGGAAAAAGAGGGAAAGGAAGGGCCCAGCCCCAAGTCTGTTGCCCAGACAGACAGGGGAAAGGGTAGGCATGGCAAGCTGCCATTTTAAACCCTCAGGCAGGAGGGCTCCTGCTGCCTCTGCTGCTGCTGCCTCCCCTGCTCCCAAAAGCTGGAAGAAAGAGGGAACAGCCAGCCCTACCCCAATTAGAAAAGTAAAAGTCACTTGCATAATCCTCTTGGTATCCCTTGTTCACCAGCCTGAGGGCAGACGAGCATGGTCCAAGCACAGCCTGCTGAGGTGTTCCCTTTTGTGGTCAGCAGGGTCTGGAGGCTTGGTGCCCCCGGCCACAGCTCCATCCAGCGAGCACAGAGTCCACTTAAATGCCCACCTTGGTCCTGACAGCTGAACTTGTAGCTGGGCCCTGCTAACTGGGGGGGCCCCCATTGAGGAAGTAGGTGGTCATCTCCCCCTTGCCCTTCACCTTGACCACCCCTCGACACTCCAGCTGGTAGCCTTTGGCAGCTAGAACCTGGTACAAGTCCGTGGTCACCTGGGGGATGGGAGGGGAACCCACTTAGCCTGGGATCCTTCCTGCTGCATTTGCAGGGGTCCAGGGGTTCTCTAATCATGCTAGCCCCCCCCCCGCCCCCCCAACCACAGAACACTGCCACCCTACCCCTGTCCTAGCTGACTGCAGAGAGAGACCCGCAGAAGCCCTCTGGACCCATTCTCCTCACCTGGATTCGGTCAGGAACCCCTGTGCTGTCCATACGGCTAGAGACATTCACCGTGTTCCCCCAGATGTCATACTGTGGCTTCCGAGCCCCAATGACGCCTGCCACAACTGGGCCCATGTTCAGCCCTGCAATGGTGACAGCAGCAAAAAACTGAGACAGGTGGACATGCCAGGGTCAGCCCAGGGAGTCATCCCCCCTCCTGGAACCTTTAGAAGGACCCAGAGGAGAAAGTAGCAAAGTGACAAGTGTCTTGGTTGTAAAGAATGGAAGATCTAGGCCTGTGGAGCTCCCCGGAGTTAAGGCAACTGTTGCCCTAACACTGGCTAACCCCCTGAATGCTCACTCTGTGCAACCCCTCTCATAAGCAGTTAGCGTTCCATCATTTCATCCCCTCAGCGGCCCTAAAAGGGATCATCCCCATTTCGCAGATAACCTCGGGGAGCTGAGAGGAGTTGGGTGATGTGCTAAATAAGCCAGTGAGTGGAACACCCAGAATTCAAACCAGAGTGACTCCAGAACCCCTAACATTAGCCACCCCTCCCGCTCACCAGCTCATCGGACTGGCCTCAGAGGACAATGGGTCCTGGAGCTTCAATAACCCTGGTTTTGAATCCCAGTCCAGCCACCTCCTGGCTGTTTGACCTCGGCCAAGTTCTTTAATCTGAGAGTCAGTCTCTCTCTGTAGAAGGGGATGATGATGTGAAGACTAAAACGTCCAGGACAGCGCCCGGCACACAGCAGGCCCTCGGTCAATGACCTCTGTTCTTAATAGGAGACGAGGTAGGAGGCGGGAGAAAGGACATCCCAGAGGATTCCTGATGGGGAACCCCTAACCTGCCTCCTTGCCTCACCCAGAAACAGCCTAGGAAAAGCTGCCAGGCGACCAGGCCATCTCACCAATCTTCATCTGGAAGTTGTTGAAGGAGTGCTCGTTGATGTGTTTCATCTGCTCCATGAGCCGCATGGCATAGTCGGCCAGAGCAGTGATGTGGGAGCGGCCGGCCTGATCGTAGGTGCTGGCGTTCAGCCCCGACGCAGCCATGTACGTGCTACCGATCGTCTTGATTTTCTCCAGCTGCCGGAACCGCTCCTCGCTGATGATCTGGACGGCACAGGGAGACCTGGCTGTCAAGGCGGAGAGGCCGAACGCGCCCTGCCCAGTGCTCACTCTGGCCAGGCCTCGGCCTCTTCCCCCTTCCCTGTTGCAACAGCTCCCCTCCTTTTAGTGAGCGAGCCCCGCCTTCCAGCCGTTGTTCTCAAGGCGGGACTGAGGAGCCAGGAAAAAAGGCCGCCTTCACCAGGCAGGCATCAGAGCCCCAGGCCAGAACTTTGGCACACAGCTTCAGGGCAACTTCAAATGCTCCCTCACAGAATCCAAACCACACAAGGGATATTAGCCATCAATTATTCTAACCATCACTTTTTGGGAAACCGAGTGCCAGAATGAAGGAGGGACTTGGCTCCAAGACCGTAAATGGCCCATTCCTGAGCTGGATATTCTGGACACTTCCTCGTGTTTGCTTCCATTTTCTCTATTCAGGAGCCCATCTTGCTTACTTGGGCTCATGGGGTTCCGTCCACAGATTACTGCCGCCTTTTTCAGGAACATCCACCTGGTACCCATCCTGTCCTCTCCACAGATCCTCATGTCCTTTGCTCCCCAGCAGTGATGACCCTGCCCCACTGGGGCTGACCACCCTGCTGCCTCAGACACCACAGTGGGTCCTTGGTCTTGCCCCCACTGTACCTACCCTGACTACTACCCCAATATCTCTGGGTCCCATCAAGCCTTCCTTCCCCCTCCCAATCCAGCCAGCCCCCCAATCCTGGCCTTCCCACCCAAAGTTCTTCCCGCTGCCCTCGTCCCCCCCAGGTGCTCTGCCAGCAGCAGCCAAACAGACAAGTACCTCATCAAAGTCAGCGATGATTTCGTTGAGCAGCCGCAGGCACTCGACACCCTCATTGTTTGCCTCCAGCTCCACATAGAACTCAGAAAAGTTGGCAATGGAGGCAAACATGACGGCCACACACTCACACGACTGGTAGTAGAGCTCATCGTTCCGGCGCTCCCGGGCCAGGAAGTGGGCAGCCACGTCCTTAGGCAGAATGTTATGCAGGAGCCTTCGGTTGTAGGCCTGGAGCTCCTCCATCTCCTCCTTCTCCCCCGTTGCCTGTGGACACCACACCCATCACCCACTGCCCAACATTCACAAGAAGTGGGAGCCAGTGCCTGGAGACAGGCATCAGAGGGAACCACGGGGAAGAAGAAAGGCATGGACAGCAGAGACCCAAAGGGATGAGAGGGGCAGGGACAAGATGAAGCAGGGGTTAGGAGACGGGCACAGAGCAGGTTGGAGCCAGAGTGGGCTTGAGCGGCCCAAGCCTTGGCCAGCCAACAAGGTGCATTTCTGGTTTGTCCCAGGTTCTGTCCCCACTCAGTCACCTGCAGTTTCCAGAGGAAGTCCAGACGTGCAGTTGATTCCACCTGCTGGGCGTGCAGATACAACGCCAGGGCAAACACCAGCAGAATCACAGGGGTCATGTATTTCAGTGCCACCCTCCCCGCAGCTGGGCTGAAGGTAAGCAGAGGCAAGCTCAGTGCTTGAAAGAGGCATGTGGCAGCCCTACCCTTCCCTGCCCCGGAGCCCTCACTCACCAGTCCAGCCCATCAAAGGTGTCATTGGAAGAAGCCCTGGCAGGAAAATACAAGAGACAAAGTCATCGGTTCTTCTTAAGTTGCTGAGTCGGGGCAGGGAAGGGGAGACAGAAACTGCATTTACCAAGCACATAGCACAAAATCAGGCACAGGGCCAGGGCTTGTGCTTACAGTAACTCAGTAAGAGCAGAGGTTGAGAGAAGGTTTCACTCTTAGCTCTTCTACTTACCTGTCCCGAGACTCGGAACAAGTTACTTAAGTCTAGGCCTGTTTCCTCATCAGTAAAAGAGGGACGAGATCTAAATAACACATGCAAACGGTCTAGCACGGCCCCTGGCGTGCAGTAAGGCTTCGACAAACGTTAGTGACCATAGTCTTTACAATCACCTATGATACAGGTGCCACTGCCATTTTACAGATGAGGAAACTGAGGCTCAGAGAAGTTAACTCACCTGTCCAAGGTCACACAGCTAATGAGCAGCAGAGCGGGATTCAAACCCAAGTGGACTCCAGAGGCTTTTCCTACCACACCAACCTATGGCCCCGTATCACAAGGGATGGGGTTTGCAGAGGGAAAGCCAGTGTGGTGTCCCAGGCCAAGCCCCTAAGTAGGAGTCAGAAGTTTTGGTTCCTAGCCAGGGCTCTGCTGCCAAGCAGCTGTGTGACCTACAGGTGGTTAAGAGAATGGGTATGAAAGAACCATGTGAACAAGAAAGGGAATTTTTTAAATGCCTGGCCTGAAGACACAGGGACTTCCCAGGACTGGGGTTTCCTTGGGGTGACTGTGGAGTCCTATGCTGGGAGCTCCTCCCACTGCCTCCTTTCCCCCCACAGGTGAGGGGTGAGTGATGGCATTACAAGGGCACAAGAGGCCTGAGCACCAGAGAGGCTCACAGTGACCAGCAGGGTCAGGAAGCGTTTTGGGGGTTAAAAGGGCTGAGGATAAACTCACAAGCCATGGACACCAAGCAGCAGGTCATAGTTGTCAAAGATGGTGGCTGGGGGGCCCAGCAGAAGCAGCACCAAATAGATGAGCCCCAGGACAAAGATCATGGCCAACTTCCCGATGCTACTGATGTGCAGGAAGACAGAGCTGGCCAAGAGACTCAGCAGCATGTTCCCAACGAAGTACTGGGGGGTGATGGCAGAGGTGGTGTTAGACGAAGGCAGGAGCCATGGCACCCCCTACCCCATGAAGGAGGAGCCCTGCACACCCCTCCTCAACCTCAAACCCAAATGTCCTTCAGCCTCCACACGTCGCCCCACACCACACTAGAGCCCCCGGCTGCTCCTCTGGCAGGGACTCTGGTGCCCATCACCAGGCCTGACACAGAGGGGTCAACAGGTAGGACTGACCGGGACAGCCCCCCATCCCGCCTGAGCACGGCTTGGACACCTCAGGGAAGCTGCAAGTGGGTGCGGTGCCCTCACACAGCGGAGCATCCAGGCCCAGAGAGTAATTGAGCTGCTGCAGGTGGCAGGCGGTGATGTCAGCGGGTGTTACATTCAGCATCCGGGCTGCACAGGTCCGGATGGGGGTGTGGTTACAGGTGAACTGCAAAAGTTGGGGGAGACATATCAGGGTCAGCACGCAAGAGAGTGTTGCAACAGCCATGCCCCGTGCCTCATACCCTGGGGGTCAAAGTGCTCACTGAAGGATGACAGGAGGTAGGGGGAGCAAGGAGAAAAGAGTTAACCTAACCCCCTCCTTTGAGATAACACGCTCTCGGAGGGCAGGAAATGGGTCTTATTCCTCTACCTACCCCCAGGGCCCAGAGCAGTGCTTGGCACAGACAAAGGGTAGAAGAATCCCCACTGGGCCTTTACCATGTTGGCGATGGCGGAGGTGAACACTAGCAAGACTGAAAAAATGCCAACCACAGTGCTGTGCGCCCGAGAGCGGACGATGCTGCGGGAAAGACGTCGCAGGGCCTTGGGGAAGAGCTGCAGACAGGCGAGAGACCAAGAATTAGAGACCGTGTCAGCCAAGGGTAAGGCCAACCAGGGATGGGGCCCCAGGCAGGAGGCCTGGCCTTCTCCTCCCTCTCCCCGTGCGACCTCTCACCATGGTGGCCCGGCCTGCCCTTCCCAACCAGCCCCCGAAGAACCGCCGACGTACAGAGCCACAGGAGTACACGGCACAGGTCAGCACGGTGATCAGCAGCAGCACAAAGATACTGGCGTAGATCCCAAGCATCACGGTTGAGCTGGGGCACAAAAGGGCCAGGGAAGATGTTACTCTGGAATGTCTGGGCATCCTCATCCCACTCCCCAGGTGGGCAGGGCGCAGGGTCCAGAGACCGTGAGCTTGCACGGGTGTCTGGGAAGGTTCTGGGAAGTGGTGGAGGGAAGAGGAGCAGAGGGAGGAGGGGCAGGGCTCTCACTGTGGGAAGACGAGGAGCTGGATAAAGCAGATGAAGCAGAAGACCAACAGCGCACAGGCCACATAGGCTCCAAAGCGGGGGTCCACCTTCCTCGAGTACTGAGGGAGAGGAGGCTGAGCTGGGTGCTGGGCTCTGGCCTTGGGGAGGCAGGGCCCTACCAGGGCCTCAGAGAGGAGCAGCAATGGCCCCGTGGATAGGGATCCCCACTGCGCCCTGTAGTCGCCCCCTCGCCATTCCCGAAATAACCTCTCCTGTTCCCTCAGTTGTGCTCAGCCTTCCCAGCCCCTCCTCATCCAGCCCTCATCCCTCTGCCCTCAAATCCCCCAAACCTTCTTTTCAAGATCCTCTCTCTGGAAGGTAAGCAGGAAGCGGCGCACGTGGTCCTTCCGTAGCTGATCGATGCTGCGGGCATCGATGGCACGGCCCAGGAACTCATCGACCTCATCTTCGGGGTTCAGGGCATCTTGGGCACCCCGGCTGAGGGCAAGGGGACATGGCTTTACCGGGGGCATGAGCATTGCCGCAGGAGAGACAATGAGAAGGGGAGGGCACGGGCGGCACCCAAAGGACAGAGTGAGCTGGCTGTGTGGCACCTGCTCCCACATGACACACCTAAGGTCCAGGAAAGGGGGGGGTCTCGGCTCCCCGCAGTCCTGTCCCAGGGTGCAAGTGCCTCCTCCCTCCCTCTTCCTCCCTCCTCAATAACCTGACTTACTTGTCTTTGCTGGAATCATCAATGCCCTGGAGAAAGGGACAAAGTGTGCAAGTGAGGGGAAGGACGAACCGCCTTCACCCCCATGACCCCCTCCCCGTCCCCAGCACTGCTGACCTGGCGAGGCTTGGGACCCTGGGGGTGAAGTCAACCCTCCGGCCCCACCCTACCACAAGGCAGAAGAGGGAAGGGCGCACAGAGTGTCAGGACAATGAGGCCTCGGGTCCCCGTGCTGTGGGCCCCTCACCATCTGGCGGAAAGCCTTGGAGTCCTTGGTCCGGGAGAAGGCGCGGTCGGGCACCCAGCGTGGCATCAGGCCTTCCATGGAGTTGGCCCGCGTCCGCTGCAGCTTGGCCAGCATGGCCTTCTCCTCTTTCTGTGGAGGCAGCAGGGGTACGGGATCAGAAAAGGGGCCCAGAGAAGATTCTCTGCTGCCCACATCTGCCCTTCCGTGGCCCTGCACCCCCCACCCCCCACCCCCGCCGGCCTGACCCGTTTCTGGCTGGCTCCCAGGATGAGGAAGGTCTCGATGTGCTGCTCCTTGAGGTACGCGTTCCGCTCACCACCACGGCCCGGCTCCACCTCGTAGTCCCCGTTCAGGTACTGCAGCGTGGCCCGGGTGATGTGGATGCGGCTGTGAGCCGACAGGAGGGTGAGACCTGGCCTCGCCCACCTCGCTCCCACCCCTCACCTGCTGCACCCCACACTCACCCGGCCCGGCCCCCCGCCTCCATGTGGTTGGCCAGAGTCACGTCATTGGACCACACATCGAACTGCCATTTCCGCAGGCCAAGGACGCCACAGTGCACACGCCCGCTGTGGATGCCCACGCGCATGTTCACGTTCACACCTGTCACCTCACGCACCAGCCTGGGAAGAGGCGGCTCTGGCTCGGCTCCCGGCACAACCTTCCCCGCTCCCAGCCCCGAGCTCGGGCCCTTCACTCCCCCTCGGAGCCAAGTAGACAGGGACAGAGCCAGACGCAGGCCACAGCAGCACAGCCCTGGCTGGACACGGGCAAAAGGCTGCATGGGTCCCACGGACAAACGTTTGTGAAGCGAGTTCACAGAGGTGGCCCTGCGGCATCTGGTGGAACGGAGCTACGAAGGGAGGGGTCACTGCTCGCCCCGCAGGCCTGCGCATCCTCGCCAGCCCCGATTCCCTCACCCGGGGCTCCCCCCCGGGACCCCCCTCCCCGGGGGCCTGTTGGCTGGGGTCTAAGGTGCAGAGGCTGAAGAGAGATCCTTTCCCTCCCCCGCAATGGATCTCCAAGACAGAGGATTAGCCAAAAGGAGACAATTCCTGAGGACAAAGCCAAGGGCAGAGGCCGGCGGGGGCACCCTCAGTTCCAGGGACCTAGGAGGGGCACCGCTTACGAGATGGCCTCGATCATGTCCACCCCCATCTCCACACAGCAGTGGGCATGGTCTGCCCGGGCCTCCGGCAGCCCCGACACACAGTAGTAACAGTCCCCTAAGATCTTGATCCTCAGGCAGTGATTTTCCTAAAGGGGAGATTTGGGGAGAGTCGCTCTCACTCTCCTGCCCTCCCAGCACCCTCACCGAGTCGCCATCTGTCCCCACCGTGCCAGGCCGCCCCAGTTTAAAGCTATGCTCACGCCACGTGTGGCCCAGCCCCCTCACCGCAGCCAGCTTGTCAAACCGGGCAAAGAGCTCGTTCAGGGTCATGACCAGCTCCTGCGCGGTGCACTGGGACGCCAGGCTGGTGAAGCCTTCAATGTCTGCAAACAGGATGCTGTGGACAACGGCAGAAGATGGAAGGACCCCATGGCCCTCAGGGACTCCCAGGGCCCCCATCCCTCCGGGTACCCTCCCACCCCCCCGCCCTACCTGACATTGTCATGCTTCTGGATGTAGATCTTGTGGAACATCATGTCTTCTTTCTTTGTGTTGATATCTTCTTTCATCTCCATGGCAACATGCTGGGGCAACACGGACAGCAGCAGCCGTTCCTAGACCAGTGGTTGCAACAGGGCACCACTATCTTCTCAGCCTCACGCTGAGGCTCCTGATCCCTCCTGATGCCTCCACCACCCCAGAGCCCTCCCAGGCCCCTCTGGAGACCTGAGCTTCCCTTTCGGACCTCCCCCCCCCCACGCAACCCCTCACTTGCGCTCCCATCTATCCTCTCCCACCCTCAGACAGGACAGGAACCCCAGTGTCACAGGGCCTGTGTGCTGCCGGGGAACACTCAGGGGGACCACCCACACTTACTCCATGGAGTGCTATAAGGCGGTGGAAGCAGTTTGCTGGTTATGGGGGCGGGGGGGCTTGGACAGGGAGGGCAGCCCCACCTGCTGCCGGTTCTCGTGCTGCAGGTGCAGCCGGGCCTGAATGTAACCGCGGGTCTCCTGAAAGGCCTGGCGCTGAGAGACCTCAGCTGGGTAGTGTGTGCAGATGCCAATGACGTTGGTGCAGAGGAACAGCAGCATGTTGGCACCGAGCTGCAAGAGGGTGGCAGAGGCAGACTGGTGACACACCCCCCCCCCACAACGCACAGGTGCAACTTGCTAGGCTCTCTGTGGGGAGAAAGCCAGGATCCTGTGCCCTGTCTGTCCCCACCCCTGTAATACAGCTCCCTCTCCTCCCACAGGACTCCGGCCCCCTGCCTGGATCGCTCCACAGCTAGAAATGGGACCTTTTCACGACTCCTGGGAGCAGAGGCACCAACCAGGGCAAGGCGGGTCATGGGGCCTGCGCCCAGCCCACTATGATTTCCTGCCCCACAATCAGCCCAAATAAAGACAAATGCTGCTCCTTCTGCATGTGGTTCTCCTCACAGGACAACACCCAGGAGACTTGAGCTCTATATCCTCCTGTGAATGCCTACGGACAAATCATCTCGTTTCTCTGGGCCTCTGTAGGCTCACCTAGAACCTGGAGAGGGACAAGATTTCTAAGGTCCCTCCCTGCTCTGACATAATGTGACATGATAATTATCATTATTATTATTATTGGAGCTAATCTGTTGGCTGCCTGTTTAATATGTGTGGCTCCATAGCTGCTTCCTATACAGTAACTAGCGGATCTCTTATTCTCTATGAAACAGGTAACAGTATCTCCTTTTAAAGGTGAAGCACTCAAACACAGAGAAGCTAAGTCACTTGCCCAAGATCACACAGCTAATAGTGGCTGGTGTGGGACTTGAATCCAGGACAGTCTCCAAAGCCTGTGTCCAAACCCTACTGCGTGGTGCGTTCCAGATTTCCAAGATTCCTACTCCCTCCACTTACACATGCTCTTGAGGCCCAGCCTCAGAGCCCAGGCTTGGGAGTCATCAATTCTACTAACATGGGACCTTCTCTTCCACCACGCCCAGGTGCGGCCAGTACTTGGCACAGCCAGGCCCCATGCCCGAGGACCCCGATCTCAGGGTGGCCAGCCCTCCTCAGCATCAGTAGCACTCACTGGACGGCAAGTCTAAGGAGAACTGGCCTCAGTGTTTCCAGAAGTTCAGGGGTTAACCTGGCACTTGTGGATCCACCCCAGAGTTGGCTGGGGCGGGGCTCCGGTTTGGGGAGAAGGGAGGGAAAGAGCACCAACTGGAAGCCAGGAGTTCTGGGCTTTGCCCAGAACCAGAACTAGTCCTGCAAACCTGGGCAGGTCACTTAATCTCTGGGACCTCAGTTTCATTTTTGTTAGGTAAAGCAGAGGGGTAGGCTCAGCAAACCCCCAAGTCATTTCCAGCTCTGACCCTCAAGGACTGGCCGCCTAGCTTTCCTTCCCAGTCCAGTTCACAAGGCCCCCCTCCCAGCAGCAGGGGTGAAGAGGGGGGCACACTATCTCCCTGAGGGGTTTCTAAGAATAGCCCCCAGTGGGGGAGAAGGAGGAGGGGTTAACCAGGCAACTTCCCTTCCTGGCCCCAGGAGCCTAAGAGGAAAAAGTGAGTCATGGTGGAGGGAAGGGGACCGGGGAACAAGAGACTGAAATAGATCAGGATCAGTACCGGACCCCTATCCGACTGTGAGAAAAAATGGATGTCGGGGCGCTCCAGGAGACTCCAGGCGGGGCCCGGGTCACTGGGTGAATGAGTGGGTCAGGGAGGAGTGAAGGCTCCTTCCCACGAGTGTGAGCAGGCCTAGGTCTGGTCAGGGACTGTCCAAGGAGCCTGGAAAGGAGGCCACAGCCCCACGCCACCCCGGCATCATAGGCCAACTGGACACAGGGAATCAATCCTTCTCGGTTCGGAGAAGGGGTCCAGGTATGAGCAACCCTGGCTGCATAGACAGGCGCAGGGGCAGGGGTGACTTCCTCTCCTCACCCTAAGAATGTGCCCGCTGAGACCTACAGAGGATAAGGCTGCAGCTGGGTGCCCCTGGGGAGGCAGGAGGCTGCAAAGTCCCAGTCTCCATGGGGCTGTGCCTCCCCAATCAGGCCCTGGGCCTGGTTCTGGGCACCATGCCAGCTGAGAGCAAAGAAGAGACAGCCACCTACCCCTGGCCAGCCGAGAGGAGGTAGAGGAAGGGAGGCACCACCTCCAAGCTCCTCCTTTCCCAGGAGGGCAGTCCAACTCCAAAGCCCAGGGCAGCAGCCACCCCAGGGAGAAGTGGGGGGCTAGCAGAGGCAGAAAGACCCTGGCCCTTTAAGAGGTCTGACTGCCCTGTGGGTGCTGCTCCACAAACAAATGGGCTATAAAGTTTCTTTTAAAAAGGTACATTCTGTTCTGGAGCACAAGCTGGGCGGAGAAGGGCATCATGCCAGAGCACCCAGCTTCTCACCCTGGGAGCCCCGGGCAACTTCCTCTTTGCAGGCAGGGTAGGGTGGGCTACACCGACCACGGGCCCTCAGCAAAGCAGAGGCTGAGTCCCTCAAAACTGGAGCAAGACAGAGGGCAGCACCCTCGAAATCCGAGTGCTGACAGAGGGATCCTGAGGTATGTTGGTTAGGGGCTGTGTCCTGAAGGATCAGCCAGGCAAGATGGCCCGGTCTCTGCTCCCCGGTCAGGGGGGTGACCTGAGACGGTGGCGGCCACATGGAGCCGAAGGGGACTTCCGGGAAGGCCCTTCCCTGGGTCCTATCCCCTCCGGCACTCCCACACCTCCCTGCCCCCAGGTGAGAACCCTGCCCTGTTGGCTTCTACTCCCCTCTGGGAGGGTGGGGCCCTAACAGCAACCTCTCCTATGAGGTAGATACTATTTTTATCCCAGTTTTACAGACTGGGAAATCAAGGCTGGGCGAAGGGAGGTCAGTCAGTTGTCTAGGATCTAACAGAGAAGAACACAGCCCATCGGACAAGCAGCCAAGCCTTCATTTCTCACTCAGCATGGTGCTGTCGCACCCCACCCCACAAGCCACACCGAACCCGGACACACTGGCTGGCGTGGGCCCAGAACCCCCGGCAGGGCTGCCGGACCCCTGGTGCTCAGTGGGAAGACGGGGGGAGAGAGATCCGACCCTGAGGCCCCTCTTTTCCACATCCAACTCCACTCAAACAGCTCCCAGCCCCAGGGAATACTGATCCCACTCATCCCCCTCCCCGTCCTCTCAGAGATGGCCTTGGTCCAGGAGAGAAGCAAGTCCTCCCTTGCGAAGTCCATCCAAACCCTGCTTGATCCCTCCAGGTCACCACCTGGAGCTGCTTTCCAGGGAAGGCAACTTGAGGCCAGAGCTGCCCCCCCCCCCCGCCCTCCCCCGCCCCGGGGTGAACCGTCAGGTTCCCACCTCCAGGGCTACCTCACATCTACCAGCCTTGCTGTTCAAGGGCCTCGGGCCAAAGAGCTGCGGCGGGTGGCCCAGGCGGGTGGCCCATGCGAACAGAGCACAGGCTTGGGTCCTGGGGCGCTACCTCTCCGGGCCAGTGCCCTCTGCTCCAGATCCAGGATGGAGCGGACCCTGAAACTTGGCCTCCCATTATTTGCCCCCCGCCCGGCCAGGACACAGCCAGACATCCCTACGCGCAGTATCCACCCACCCTCCCATCACTAAACCCCTCCTCATTCCCGGCCTGGCACCCCAAAGCCTACCTCCCTGACATCCCACCTGCTTCCAGAGGAAGGCGTCACCGCGGTTGAGTTGCCAGGCCAAGATCAAATGCAGGGTGGACAGGCCCAGGCCACTGAAGACAGCTGCCCGCATGCGGATGGGTAGGAGCGTGTAGGTGATGTAGACAAAAAACACAGGGCACCAGAGGCCCACAGAGGGGCTGCGGGGGTTGGCTGCCAGGGCACCCCCAACCTGAACGGCTGCCAGGATGCCCAGCACCACGTAGCTCACCACCCACATGGAGTCCTGGCGAAAGCTGTGCCGGTTACACACCACCATGAGCGCCACGAAGAGGGTGGCGGCACAGGCCAGCAGGGCCACGTAGGCAGGCTGAGGGCGGGCAGGCGCAGCATGGAAGGCGAGCAGCACCGCTGTCAGCAGCACCAGCACCGCCATCAGCAGCGTCAGGCTGCTCTGGTTCATCTGAAAGAAGTACCGCTGGTACAGGCGCTCCAGCTTGGCCGAGCGGAACTGCTTCGACTGGAACACCTGGGCCAGACGGCGCCAGCAGGATCGCCTACTCCCGGGGGTCACGTCAGGGGCCACCTCAGCTGCCCCAGCCGCTGACATGGCCTCAGTGTCCTCGAAGCCCAGGGCCACCGCCCGCAGCCCCAGCTCCGTGCCCTTGCCCGGGCCGCCTCTCCGGATGAAGGCCTCATCCTGCCAGGGGCACCGAGGCGGAGCCGCAGGGGTGGGACTGGGGGGCTGCGCATCCCGGAGGCAGCTCATATAGCGGGGCGTGCAGAAGCCACTGGTCCGAGTCCCGCGGCGTGGACGCTTCTGCCCATTGCGTTCACCCCAGGCTGTCTTCCGTTCGTCCACTTTGGGGACCAGGAGGCCACTAAACCACGACATGCTGCTGAGAGAAAGGGAGGAGTTGGTTTTAACACCATGACAGCCGACCGCCCCGGGAGCTATCATCATAGACAGCACCTCCCGGCCAAGCGAAGCCCTTCAGACGCCTCACCCCCCCCAAAATCCTGGAGGAAGGCAATGGTATCCCCCTTCCATAGGCAACAGGCGAGGGACTGGAGGCAGAGGGAGGGAGGTAACTGCCCTGCCCTAGCTCAAGTAGCCCCAGAGGTGCAGGAACCAGGATTTGACCCCTGATCCGCCTGACTCCAAAGCAGCACACTTACACACACGTTCACCTCTTCCCTAAACAGCACTGATTTGTTGGTGGTGACAAACTCAAGTGCCTGTGTCAATGAGCAAAGGCACCCATGGCTTAGGGGATCTGGGAGGAACTAAAGAGAGTGCACCCCCTGAGCTCAGCAGGGGCACGTACCACCCCACACCAGTAGGTAGCTGCCACTGGCATCCCAGGGGAGCCTGATCGGATTTTTCAACAGCTGCTGAAAAAAATGTACATTTTAATGTGACAGCTCCTGATTTTTAAATGTTGGCAAGTAATTCACATTTTTCAACACTGCAAGCCAAATAAATCACATCTATGGAATGAATTCAGCCTGTGAGCTGCCAATCGGTGACCTCTATACAAAAGGGAATCTCCTTCCACGTTGTTCCCCATCACACTCACACCACGCACACTTCGCCGAGTCAGGCTCAACTTCTCCCCCGGGTCACAGCTTAGATGGAACTTCCTCAGGGAAGGTGTCCCAGCTCCCCCACGCAGACTGCAAACTGCGTTTGGTCTCCTTTACCTCCCTGGCAAGTACGTTTCCTCTCAAGTACTTGCCACAATTATAGCTAAGTTGCCCTGGGCAGCCCGGGTGGCTCAGCGGTTCAGCGCTGCCTTCAGCCCCGGGGCGTGATCCTGGAGGTCCAGGATCAAATCCCAGTCGGGCTCCCTGCATGGGGCCTGCTTCTCCCTCTACCTGTGTCTCTGCCCCTCTCTCTGTCTCTCATGGTTAAATAAATAAAAATCTTTAAGATAAAAAAATAATTTAAAAAAATAAATTGCCCCTTGTCTCACCATCCCGCTGACTGTAAATTTTGGGGAGGGATTATAACTATTTTGCTCAGCCCTTTGTCCCTCAGCACCAAGTACTGAGCCCAGCACATGGTAAGGACTCAAGAAATACGTTGAAAAGACAAAAAGAGAGCTCAGGACGGGGTGCCTGGGAGGCTCAGTCAGTTAAGTGTCTGACGCTTGGTTTCGGCTCAGGTCATGATCTCGGGGTTGGGAGATCGAGTCCCCCTGTTAGCTCCACCCTCAGCACAGTGTCTGCTTGGGATTTTCTCCCTTTCCCTCTCTCCCCTTCCTCCTCCCCACCCCAAGCACACGCTCTCTTTCTTTCTCTAAAATAAATAAATAAAATCTTTTTAAAAAATTTTAAAAGAAAATTAGCTCAAGGGCATTGGCACTGAGCAGCTAATGTGAAATAACAACAAATAGTGATAATCCCGTGACTGTCCCTCTCTCTCACTGCACCCGGTCCTATGAGCCTCCTTGCTGTTCCCCAACACACCGTGCACTGGCCGGCCTGGGACTGCGGTGCCCGCTGTGTCCTCTGCCTGCGACAAGAGCTCGTCCTGGTCACAGCTCAAATGTCCCCTTATCAGTGAGTCTCTCCCTGACCGTTCTATTAAAATAGCAACCCCCTTTCCTGGAGCTCCCTATCTCTCTTCCCAGCTTTATGCTTTATTTTTCTCTATTGCTCTTTATCAGCAACTGCCATTCTATATATTTGCCTTATTTGCTCATTGTGTCTCCTCCCCAGAATGTCAGCTCCATGAAGGCAGGGATTTGGGCCCATTCTGCTCACCGCCCTACCTGCCACACCTAGTAGAGACTACATAAATGCTCCTAGAATGGCTGGGCATGACATGCTTTCTCTGTGCTGTACCTTTCCGGGGTCCTTTCGCATGCCCAATCCCACCTGATCTTCACCAAAACCCTGTGGAGCTGCTCCTGTGGCCACCTGGAGCACAGATTTGACAGGAAAAGAAAGGAAGACCAGGTCCACCCACGGCACTTTTATCTGGCTGGTTACAGAGATCCTGCCTGGGCCACCAAGTCAGCTCCAGATCTCGGGTCTCCCGGAGGGTAGTGCCTTGAAGCAGGGTAGGGAGGACTCCAGGACAACACCCTCCGGGTGCCTCCTAGCCGAGCTGGGCTCAAGAGAAAGTGAGGATGACAGCACAGTTATCCTTGGATGCCTGTGCCATATACTCCTCCCTGCCCACAGGGCACCCCGGGGCTCCTTGTACTTAGGCAAAGCTAGCAGCCTTGACATTTGTACTCGCTGGGGGACACCGTGGGGGCGGGGGGGGGGTGCCCAGCACTTGCCCCAGGCGGCCTCAGGATCAGGCGCTCTAGACAGACAAGCAGCACTTCAGACACCCAGAGGCCCACAAAACAGAAGGCAGACCGGGGACCACTCTGCAGGCAGGACCCCCATCCCTACTTCACCCTCGGCCAACTCCTCTCAGCATCCCTTCTCCCTCGTCCCACTGAGCAGCTTGCCCTTCAACCCTCTACCACCACCAACAGCACCCTCTGGAGGGACAGATGGGAAATCCAAGAGTTTGGGGAAAAGTTACCAAAGGAAGCCTGGCTCCCCAAGATACTTCATTAGAAGCAGGAGCTTTGGAGCAGGACCAGGCCTCAGACCTGAGAGTAACCGTGCGCTAGCTGCGCAGCCTTGAACAAGTTACTACCTCCCTGCATCCGTTTTTTCATCTGTAAAATGGGAATAGTAACAGTCGTGAGGAGAGAATCCAAGACTATCTGCCACGGAGTCCACACCTGATAAGCATCTCTCCCCACCCCATGCCACCCTAAGCCCCAAACTCTGCCACTGTCAAAGAAATGAAAAGACAGAAAAGCCATTAGCAAGAACACACACCTCCCCAGCCCATCAGACGTCTGGTTCCATCAGACCTTGTGCCCTTGGCTGTGAGTCCCCAGAGCTGCTGGAGACAAGAGCCCAGAGCAAGCAGGTTTCCCACCACCCCTACCGTGACATTGTGCTTCATTCAGCCTCCTCCCGCTTGCTTGTCCCCTGCCCTATATTTACGGCCCTCCCCCCTCCCCGAAATGGCCAGATCTCTGTTCCCAAAGGACCTGTTTCTGGCTGTGTTCCCAGCCTCCTGGAAGCACATCCTAGCATCTGGCTCATACCCACAGAGGAAGGGGCAGACACCGTCCAGGAGAACGCATGACCGTCCCCAGAACACTCTGAGCACCACCCCCCTCCGCCAAGGGGATGGCTTCGGAGCTGTGTAGTTGTCCAACTAACTGCACCCATCCCACCTGCGGCTTCCCTCCAGGCATTGCCCACCCTGGAGAACTCACCAGGCTCCCAGCGCTCCTGGCACCCCAGACTAGGCTGGTACGACAAGGAACAGGGGAGGGCACTGTTCAAAGCCACAGGACTTCCCTATATGGTCCCCCAACCCTCACTGTCCAGAAACAGCGCATCACTCGGAACCACAGACCACCTCCCTCTTCCCCAGAGACAGGCTCCTGAGCCTGTGCCTCTGACCTTCTCCTCCCCGGGGTCCTGGTCCCTTGCTCTCTCTCACAGATGGGCTGCTCCAGGCACCACTGGCTCCCACAGCCGGAGCCATACTCATTCAGCCTGGCAGCTGGAGGCCCAGTGCCTCCCAGACCTCAAGTCCCACCCAGTCCGGATTCTCCAGCCTGAGACCCAGAGTCTGAAGCAGGCCAAGGCCCAGCCCCAAGGATAGCTCTGCCCACTGCTTCTCCCTGCCCAAACTCTCTCCCTGGCCACCCCGATCTGCCCCTGCCCCTGCCCTCCTTGGCAGAAGGAGGCTCCGGGGGGGTTTAAGACGACTTCAGAAAGTTCGTGGTAGAAGGCGCTGCCCAGGCAGGGCCCTTCAGTGCCAGCACCGCCCACCATGCTGGGAAGTGGGCCTCAATTCCAGGCCTTTCCAGATGTAGAGGAGCCTCCCCCAGGGCCTGTATCTGAAAGTCCAGGACTGCCTTCTCCCTGCTTCCCCAATCTCTGGTCTCCCCGAAGACTGCAGGCGGCTCCCACTTCCACGCTCAGCCACACAAGCCCCACCAGGTTTTTCCACCTCACGGGGGGGTTCTGGTAAAGGGAGGGTGCGGGGAGCCGGTCCCCACCGCAGGCTTCCACGTCTAGGTTTGCAGCCAGGCCTCGTTTGCAATACAGCCGGCTCCCCCCGTGGCCCCCTGCCGCGGGCCCACAGCACCGCTTGCACTGCCGCGGTCGGGGCGGGGGAGTGGAGGGCACCCCTGCAGGCAGAGGGCATCCCCCCTCGATCACAGTCACCCTCCACCCCAGAAACCGCAGCCAGCCCCTCCCCTAGGAGCAGCCGGTCCCCGGGCCCGCCGGCCGGGCGCTCGCCTCGGCTGGAGGGAGGGGGCGAGGATGGGAGCCCGGAGCCCCCCGCTCCCCCCGGTGCCCTCCCTCCAGCCCCCCCCGACGCGCGCTTCCGCGCCCCCAGCCGACCCCCGGGAGCCGCGCGGGGGCCCCACGCCCCCCGACCCCGAGCGCCCGGCGCCGCTCACCTGCCGGCCCGGCTCCGCGCCGCCCCGGGCCCCCGCCCCGCCGCCCCCGCGGGCTCCGGCCGGCCGGCCGGCCGCCCCGCGCCCCCCGCCGCCCGCGCCCCGGCGAGCCTCCGCCGCCCGCAGCCCGCCCGGCCCGCGCCCCCTCCCTGCCGGCCAGCGCAGCCGCCCTCTACCCCGGATCCAGAAGTCCCCTCCCCGCCGGCTCCCGGACTCCCCGCCTTAAAGGCACAAGCGCCCATTGTCTGGCGCCCCCTCCCCCCTCCCCCTCCGCCCGCCGCGCCCCGCGCGGGGCCCACTGCCCCCCGGAGCCGCGCAGGGGTGCGGGAGCCCGGGCGCCCCCCCCGCGCGCCCCCTCCCCCGTCCTGGGCAAACAAGCGGCCTCTGTTCTGGGAGCCGGACCCCGGGGAGCGGCCCGTCCCGCGCGCCCCTTCCCTCCAGCCCTTCCCTCCACCCCCCCCCCCCGGCCGCCTCCCGCCGCGCCCTCCGCCCGCCCCCGGCCGGGGGTCCCCGCGCGCCCGCGCCCGCGCCCGCACTCGGGGCCGGCGCCTCGCCCCCGCCCGGAGCAGCGGGGGGCGGCTTCCCTCCGGCCGGGGTCCCCCGGGGCGACCCGGCGCCCCGCGCCCCCCTCCTCCCTCCGCCTCCCCCCTGCCCCCCCCCCGCGGTTCCCGCCCCGCCGCCGCGGCCCCGCGCCCTCCCGCGGGAACTCAGTTTAATAATTAATTAAGGTTTCGTTCCACCGGGCGCCAGGTGTGCGGCCTGCGTCCCCGCTCGCCGCGGGTTTCCTCCTCCCCAGCCCCCCGGGGCACCGGCCCGACGCGAACCTGCAGCGCCCCGAGCCCCGCGGGGGCCTGAAGCGAGGGGCGCCCTCCGCCCGCGCCCCCGGCCCCGCTGCCTCCCGCGGCCCCTCCCCGCACCTGCCGCCGTGCAGAGCCCCCCCCCGGGGCACCTTTCACCCAAAGGGTTGCGCTTCCCCGTTGAGGGTGGGGGCGAAGGGGTGCCTTGCCAGCTGCCCCTACTGAAATGGTTTGGGACTTTACTTCCCACGTTTTCTCGCACAAAGCAGCGCTCGGAGTTACCTGGGTGATGGGAAAATCACGTGGAAGCTGCTTTAACCCTTTAAGGGTTTGGAACATGCTGCAGGCGGACAGGGAGAGGGTCGGCTCCCAGAAGGCGGGGAGTCGGACCTGGGGCGAGGGCGCCGCTCCAGAGCGCGGCCTCCCCAGGCCCCGCCGCCTTCCCGCCGCCACACCTGTGGCTCCTCCTTCCCCGGCAGCCTCTTCCGCACGCCGGGGCCCACCTGGCGCCTCCTGCCTTCCAGCCCCTCGCAGCCCAAGCCTCGGCCACGCCAAATCCCCACTTGGCTTCCTAAACCCAGGACAGAGCTTGAGGCAAGGAGGAGAGGGGAGGAATCAGGAAAGTCGGTTTCCATCACTTATCAGCCATATCCGATTGCAAACTATATACTTTAGTAAATCATTACTCTCTTGGAGCCTCATTTATAAAATGGCAATTTTTTTAAGTGTTTTGTTTTTTTTGTTTTTTTAAGGGGCACCTGGGTGGCTCAGTTCGTTAAGCGTGTGCCTTTGGCCCAGGTCCTGATCAGGGACTTGAGCCCGGTGTTTGGGTCCCTGTTCAGCGGGGAGTCTGCTGCTTTCTCTCCCTCTGGCCCTCCCCACCCACCTTCCATCTTGTGCTGGTGCTCACTTGCCCACTCTCTCTCTCACTCTCAAATAAATAAAATCTTAAA